ACCATGTCGACGAGCAACAGCCAGGAACGCTACGCGTGCACTTTTATTGCGGATCATATACATATACAGCGAAGTCAGCCAAAAAGGAGCGATTCCCGCACGGCCATATCTCACCATCCAGTACTCCAAATAACGAACCGTTTAGCATAGTAGAATAAGGACGCGCTGACGGACGTGACGATGCTGATCTGGTGTTTCTACCACGTCTTATCGACGAGCAACTGCGGTAAAAAGAGCGTGTGGATTATTATAGATCAAGAGCGGCCTGAAGCAAATGAGGATTACTACAAGGATCCAGGCCTGGCGATATCCCATTATCACATAGGTAAGGAAGAGAAGGATATCAAGGATATAATGACAGTAAAGCTATTCTTCGAGGGCTCTGTGGAAAGCAACGGCGATACGCAGGTAAGGAAGCAATAGCATTTTTTAAGTGTATAATATTAGCATGCTGTAATAAATTGGTATTTTGTGGAATGAGATTCTGTTGCCGTGTGAAATACAAAAACAGCTCGAGATGTTTTAAACTTGAAACTTGTTCGTAAATGTGCCGTCTGCGGTTCCGATGCATGTTCGTATGTGGAAATATGGTTAATGGAAGTTGCTAGTAGTATACTATGTTCTATAAGCTTTGCTGCTGTAATTTGACTTTAAAGACGTTATAATAACGATGACCCCTAGAATCATTTTCGGCGTGGCGACGAAGTCGCCACAGCGAAAATGAGTGACCCCGATGACCCCGACATTTCAATTCAAGTGGCGACGAATGACCCCGGACTGACCCCGGGATTTAGCCAATCAAATTACCAGAACGTGATGAGCAAGACAGCAAAATAGCAGGAGAACCAGCTCCTCTTTTTTTTACTTTTTTTTGTTCTTCTATAGTACAACACTCGCTTGCTGCCCGTTTTTTTAATATATATTAAAGCAAGGACGCTTACAAAAAAAAGGTATCTTATTCAAGGGATGTTCATTTGCTGGAAGAATCGTGGCTTTGTAATGGTCAATGGTCTACTGTCTTTTATTACTAGCAATTGCTGAAACTATAGACATTTGACGAGTGCGGCAACGTACTCCAGCAGCGACAGCAGCACTACAGCAAGCCTTACAACAAACGGAAGCTACGGCACGCCATAATAATAACGGTCAAAGTTAATTACAATCGCAAATGACTTGCATGCACTGCGGCACCACTACAACATCAAAGCAGCAAAACTTGCACGAGTCTATACAACACACGCCACTTTTTTCTTTACGTTAAACGAGGGCGCGTATAATGAAATGACAACGTCAAGTATGTTGCATTAGCTTTTGTTCAAGTAGCATCAGCCATGGCGGTACGTGTCTATTCTTTTTATTTATCAGGTAAACTGGCAAAACAAAAAGGCAGCAATTCCCGCACGACGATATCTCACTATCCAGTACTCCAAATAACGAACCGCTTAGTGTGCCAGAATCAGGACGAGCTGACGAACGTGCCGCTTGTGGTTTGGTGTCTCTGCCATGTCATGTCGACGAGCAACAGCCAGAAACGCTACACGTGCACCTTTTATTGCGGATCATATATATACACACCAAAGTCAGCTAAAAAAGGAGCGATCACCGCACGACGATATCTCGCCATCCAGTACTCCAAATAACGAACCGCTTAGTGTGCCAGAATAAGGACGAGCAGACGAACGTGACGCTGGTGGTCTGGTGTCTCTGCCATGTCATGTCGACGAACAACAGTCAGAAACGCTACACGTACACTTATAGTGTATCCTATATATATACACCAAAGTCAGCTAAAAATAAGGAGCGATCACCGCACGACGATATCTCGCCATCCAGTACTCCAAATAACGAACCGCTTAATGTGCCAGAATAAGGACGAGCAGACGAACGTGACGCTGGTGGTCTGGTGTCTCTGCCATGTCGTATCGACGAGCAACAGCCAGGGACGCTACACGTGCACCTTTTATTGCGGATCATATATATACACACCAAAGTCAGCTAAAAAAGGAGCGATCACCGCACGACGATATCTCGCCATCCAGTACTCCAAATAACGAACCGCTTAGTGTGCCAGAATAAGGACGAGCAGACGAACGTGACGCTGGTGGTCTGGTGTCTCTGCCATGTCGTATCGACGAGCAACAGCCAGGGACGCTACACGTGCACCTTTTATTGCGGATCATATATATACACACCAAAGTCAGCTAAAAAAGGAGCGATCACCGCACGACGATATCTCGCCATCCAGTACTCCAAATAACGAACCGCTTAGTGTGCCAGAATCAGGACGAGCAGACGAACGTGCCGCTGGTTGTCTGGTGTCTCTACCATGTCATGTCGACGAGCAACAGCCAGAAACGCTACACGTACACTTATAGTGTATCCTATATATATACACCAAAGTCAGCTAAAAATAAGGAGCGATACCCGCACGACGATATCTCACCATCGAGTACTCCAAAGAAACGAACCGTTTACTGCAGTAGAATAAGGACGAGCTGACGGGCGTGACGATATTGGTCTGGTGTCTCTACCATGTCTTTACGACGAGCAACAGCGGTGAAAAGAACGTGCGGATTATATGTAAAAGGTGCTTCAAGCAAGTCATTAGTACGACAAGGATCCAGACATAGCAATATCCCGTTGTTTTATAGATGCGGATGGGAAGCATATAATGGAGATAATCGTTTTTTCTGATAGCTCTGTGGTGGTGACGCTTATGTGCAGGTAAGGAAGTAATAGAGAGTGTATAGTATTAGCATGCTTTAATAAATTGGTATTTTATGAAATGAGATTCTGTTGTCGTGCATTGTGCAAAAGGTGCTCTATACTCTTTAAGCTGAAAAATTCATTAATGGATGTGGCATCTGCGGTTATGATGCATGTTTGTATATTATATTCCAATCTGTGAAAGTTCCTGGAGCATACCCCCGGTATATACAGCGTTGCTGCTGTAAATTGCCTTTGAAAGCTCAATAATAACGAGTGACCCCGATGACCCCGAGATTTCAGTTCATGTGGCGACGGACGACCCCGGCCTGACCCCGGGTTTTGGCCAATCAAATTACCAGAACATGATGAGCAAGACAGCAAAATAGCAGAAGAGCCAGCTCCACTTTATTTTATTTTTGCTCCATAACACACTCGTTTACTGCCGTCTTTATTCAAAACATATTGAAGCAAGTGCGCTTGCAAAAACAAGGTATTTAGTTCTGAGATGTCAAGTTGTTAAAAGAAAAGTGGCATTGTGATGGCGAATGATCTAATCTCTTTTACTACTAGTAATTGTGAAACTATAGCCATTTGACGAGGGCGGCAACCTACTCCAGCAGCAACAGCAGCACCACAGCAACAAGCCTTACAACAAACGGAAGCTACGGCACCCGATAATTCTAACGGTCAAACTTAATTACAATGGCGTTGACTTGCCTGCATCACAGCATGACTACAACATCAAGGTAGTAAAACTTGCACAAGTCTTTACAGCACAGATCACTTTTTTTCTTATGTTAAACGAGGACGCGAGTAACGAAATGACAACGTCGATTATGTTGCATTAGCTGTTGTTCAAGTAGCATCAGCCACGGCGGTGCGTGTTTATTTCTTTTTTTTTAATCAGGCAAATTGGCAGACAAAAGCACCAGCTATTCCCGCACGACGATATCTCACTATCAAGTACTCCAAATAACGAACCGCTTAGTGTGCCAGAATCAGGACGAGCTGACGAACGTGCCGCTTGTGGTTTGGTGTCTCTGCCATGTCATGTCGACGAGCAACAGCCAGAAACGCTACACGTGCACCTTTTATTGCGGATCATATATATACACACCAAAGTCAGCTAAAAAAGGAGCGATCACCGCACGATGATATCTCACCATCGAGTACTCCAAAGAAACGAACCGTTTACTGCAGTAGAATAAGGACGAGCTGACGAACGTGCCGCTTGTGGTTTGGCGTCTCTACCATGTCTTTACGACGAGCAAAAGCTGGGAACGGTACGCGTGCATTTATAGTGGATCATATACATATACACCAAAGTCAGCCAAAAAAAGGAGCGATTCGTGCACGGCTATATCTCATCATCGAGTAATCCGAATAACGAACTGTTTAGTGCAGTAGAATAAGGACGAGCAGACGAACGTGCCGCTGGTGGTCTGGTGTCTCTACCATACCATGTCGATGAGCAACAGCCAGGAACGCTACGCGTGCACTTTTATTGCGGATCATATACATATATAGCAAAGTCAGCCAAAAAGGAGCGATTCCCGCACGGCCATATCTCACCATCCAGTACTCCAAAAAACGAACCGCTTAGTGTGCCAGAATCAAGACGAGCAGACAAGCGTGCCGCTGGTGGTCTGGTGTCTCTACCATACCATGTCGACGAGCAACAGCCAGAAACGGTACGCGTGCATTTTATAGTGGATCATATACATATACAGCAAAGTCAGCCAAAAAAAGGAGCGATTCACGCACGACGATATCTCACCATCCAGTACTCCAAATAACGAACCGCTTAGTGTGCCAGAATCAGGACGAGCAGACGAACGTGCCGCTGGTGGTCTGGTGTCTCTACCATGTCATGTCGACGAGCAACAACCAGAAACGGTACGCGTGTATTATACTGTGGATCATATATATATATATATATACACCAAAGTCAGCTAAAAATAGGAGCGATTTCGGCACGGCCATATCTCACCATCAAGTACTCCAAATAACGAACCGCTTAGTGTGCCAGAATCAGGACGAGCAGACAAACGTGCCGCTGGTGGTCTGGTGTCTCTACCATACCATGTCGACGAGCAACAGCCAGGAACGCTACGCGTGCACTTTTATTGCGGATCATATACATATACAGCAAAGTCAGCCAAAAAAAGGAGCGATTCACGCACGACGATATCTCACCATCCAGTACTCCAAAGAAACGAACCGTTTACTGCAGTAGAATAAGGACGAGCAGACGAACGTGACGATATTGATTCTGGTGTCTCTATCATACCATGTCGACGAGCAACTGCGGTGAAAAGAGCGTGTGGATTATTATAGATCAAGAGCGGCCTGAAGCAAATGAGGATTACTACAAGGATCCAGGCCTGGCGATATCCCATTATCACATAGGTAAGGAAGAGAAGGATATCAAGGATATAATGACAGTAAAGCTATTCTTCGAGGGCTCTGTGGAAAGCAACGGCGATACGCAGGTAAGGAAGCAATAGCATTTTTTAAGTGTATAATATTAGCATGGTGTAATAAATTGGTATTTTGTGGAATGAGATTCTGTTGCCGTGTGAAATACAAAAACAGCTCGAGATGTTTTAAACTTGAAACTTGTTGGTAAATGTGCCGTCTGCGGTTCCGATGCATGTTCGTATGTGAAAATTTGGTTAATGGAAGTTGCTAGTAATAGTATACTATGTTCTATAAGCTTTGCTGCTGTAATTTGACTTTAAAGACGTTATAATAACGATGACCTTTAAGTTTGTATTCAAGTGGCGATGAATGACCCCGGGTTGACCCCGGAATCTGACCAATGAGCAACTGCAATGATTGGCGGCTGGATAAATAGTGCTCCCAGACCATCCGCTACATTTAATTGGTCGAATAGTCCGTAACGAACGGACAATTTAGCAGCGATGACCCAAACGAACCCAAATGATGACAACGATGACAACGGAAATTTATTTCAAGTGGCGACCGATGACAACGGAATGACAACGGGATTTGGGCAATGTAATTGGTGGAAAATGGCGAATCTACTGGGGAACAGCAAAGGGCGCTCCACTTTTTTCTTTTTCTCTACCACAAAAAATACTTTACTGTACTCTTTTTCTTAATGTAAAAGCGAAGACGGTTTCAAAAAAAAGGTAACACATCTTATGACGACCTCGCTGAAGAACATTCTGGCATTGGGGAGGGCGGCCATGTTTTAATTAGTAGATGGAGCAGAATTGTGTTGACGGATTTTGTTTCTATAGGAATTGGACTCGCTCCAACGATTACTGTTTGAATCTGGTGTAAATCTACAAGGAAAAGAGGTAAAGGCTAGCCGTCTTTTTGCTCGTGAACGTTCTGTGCGGCCTTGTGCGTGTACTTTTGTTTCTTGTGTTAATGATTTCCTGTACATTGTATAGCCACGATGGAGAATGGCGGTGCTATTTCATGTACAACAACAAAAATAACAGCAATAACCACACAAAGCGACGACGGTCTCACGATCTACTAATTCAAATCGCATACAACGACAACCAGTCGAACGCGCAGCTTCTTCCGAACACGACGGTCGTAGTGGCATGTCTCTGCGATTGTTTTTGAAGGAGTGACAGCAGGAACAGTCGGTGGATATGCGATTGTATTACACCCTACTGGCAAAAATAAAAGTAACAATCACGAAGACGACGACGGTCTCACGAACCATGGATTCGAATTGTACACAACGACCACCAATCGAACGAGCAGCGTCTTCCGAACACGACAATTGTTGTAGCATGTCTCTGCGATGGTTTTTAAAGGAGTGGCAGCAGGAACAGTTGGTGGATATGCAATTGTATTACACTCTACTGGCAAAAATAAAAGTAACAACCGCGAAGACGACGACGGTCTCTCGATCCACTGATTCGAATTGTACACAACGACCACCAATAGAACGAGCAGCGTCTGTCGAACACGACATTTGTTGTAGCATGTCTCTGCGATGGTTTTTGAAGGAGTAGGGACAGGAACAGGGATGGATATGCGATTCTATTATACACCAGGCAACAAAAGAAATAAATTAGCACCCACCAAAAAGAACGGCGTTTTTTGCGATCCTCTACTGTTATTCTCTGTCTCTTTACTACTATCGTCATCCTCGTCATCATCAAATCACCACCACATTATCATCATCATGGGCACCACACTGCCGCAAAAGTAAATTTGTCTTGTCATCTGTTGCGTTATATCTACTTGAGCTGTGTTCAGCAGGAGTGCTCGGAGAAATGGTGCTTCCGGCGCCATTGGCGTTTTTATTGGGCAAAAACAGTGTGATTTCCACAAACTTTTTCAAGTGGCGATCGATGACAACGGAATGACAACGGGATTTTTGAAGTGGCGACCGATGACAACGGAATGACAACGGGATTTTTGATGTGGCGACCGATGACAACGGAATGACAACGGGATTTTTAAAGTGGCGACCGATGACAACGGAATGACAACGGGATTCGGCCAATGTAATTGGTGGAAAGTGGTGAGCAAGACAGAAAAATAGCAGGGGAGCCAGCTCCACTTCTTTTATCATTTATTTTTTTTACTCTTCAGCACACTCGTTTACTGCCGCTTTTTATTCTATACATATTGAAGCAAGGGCGCTTGCAAAAAAAGGTATCTAGCTTAAGGGATGTTTATATGCTGGAAGAGCTGTGGCATTGGGATGGCGAATGGTTTAATCTCTTTTACTAGTAGCAATTGCTGAAACTATTAGCCACTTGACGAGGACAGCAACGTACTCCAGTAGCAACAGCAGCACTACAGCAACAAACGTTACAACAAACGGAAGTTACTGCATCTCACGACAACAGTCAAAGTTAATTACCATACGAACGACGTGCCACATTGAAGTATGACCACAGCACACAGACAGCAAAACTTGCACCAGTCTATACAGTACAGGCCGCTTTTTTTGTATACGCTATACGAGCATGCGAATAAAGAAAGGACAACGTCGAATATATGCGATTAGCTTTCTTCAAGGAGCATCAGCCCTGGCGGTACGTGTTTATTCTTTTTTCTAACAAGCAAACTGGCAAAATCAAAAAAAGCAGCAATTCTCGCATGGCCATATCGCATCATCGAGTACCCCAAATAACAAACCGCTTAGTGTGCCAGAATAAGGACGAGCTGACGAACGTGCCGCTTGTGGTTTGGCGTCTCTACCATGTCATGACGACGAGCAACAGCCAGGAACGCTACACGTGCATTTTATAGTGGATCATATATATATACACCAAAGTCAGCTAAAAAGGAGCGATTCGTGCACGGCCATATCTCACCATCGAGTACTCCAAATAACAAACCGCTTAGTGTGCCAGAATAAGGACGAGCAGACGAAGGCGACGATGGTGGTCTGGTGTCTCTACCATGTCGTGTCGACGAGCAACAGCCAGAAACGCTACACGTGCACTTTATAGTGGATCATATATATATACACCAAAGTCAGCTAAAAAGGAGCGATTCGTGCACGGCCATATCTCACCATCGAGTACTCCAAATAACAAACCGCTTAGTGTGCCAGAATAAGGACGAGCAGACGAAGGCGACGATGGCGGTCTGATGTCTCTACCATGTCGTATCGACGAGCAACAGCCAGAAACGCTACACGTGCACTTTATAGTGGATCATATATATATACACCAAAGTCAGCTAAAAAGGAGCGATTCGTGCACGGCTATATCTCACCATCGAGTACTCCAAATAACGAGCAGTTTAGTGTGCTAGAATAAGGACGAGCAGACGAAGGCGACGATGTTGGTCTGGTGTCTCTACCATGTCGTGTCGACGAGCAACAGCCAGAAACGCTACATGTGTACTTTATAGTGGATCATATATATATATACACCAAAGTCAGCCAAAAAGGAGCGATTCGTGCACGGCCATATCTCACCATCCAGTACTCCAAATAACGAACCGCTTAGCATGGCAAAATAAGTACGCACGGACGAACGCGACGATGTTAGTGTAGTGTCCGTAGCATATCTTGCCGATGAGGAACAGCAGTGAAAAAGAGCATGTAGATTATTATAGATCAAGAGTGGCCTGAAGCAAATGAGGATCGCTACAAGGATCCAGGCATGGCGATATCCCATTATCACATAGGTAAGGATGAGAAGGATACCATGGATATAATGACAGTAAAGCTATATTCTTCGATGGCTCTGTGGAAAGCAACGGCAAAATGCAGGTAAGGAAGCAATAGCATTTTTTGAGTGTATAGTATTAGCATGCTTTAATAAACTGGTATTTCATGAAATGAGATTCTGTTGTCGTGTGAAATACAAAACAGCTCCATGTGCTTTAAGCTTAAAAACGCATTAGTAAATGTGGCATCTGCGGTTCTGATGCATGTTCGTATATGAAAATCCAATCAGTGGAAGCTGATGAGTTGTATACCTAGAATCATTTTCGGTGTGGCGACGAAGTCGCCACAGCGAAAATGAGTGACCCCGATGACCCCGACATTTCAATTCAAGTGGCGACGAATGACCCCGGCCTGACCCCGGGATTTAGCCAATCAAATTACCAGAACGTGATGAGCAAGACAGCAAAATAGCAGGAGAACCGGCTCCTCTTCTTTTTACTTTTTTTTTGTTCTTCTATAGCACACTCGCTTGCTGCCCGTTTTTTTAATATATATTAAAGCAAGGACGCTTACAAAAAAAAGGTATCTTATTCAAGGGATGTTCATTTGCTGGAAGAATCTAGGCTTTGTAACGGTCAATGGTCTACTGTCTTTTACTACTAGCAATTGCTGAAACTATAGCCATTTGACGAGTGCGGCAACGTACGCCAGCAGCGACAGCAGCACTACAGCAAGCCTTACAACAAACGGAAGCTACGGCACGCCATAATAATAACGGTCAAAGTTAATTACAATCGCAAATGACTTGCATGCACTGCGGCACCACTACAACATCAAAGCAGCAAAACTTGCACGAGTCTATACAACACACGCCACTTTTTTCTTTACGTTAAACGAGGGCGCGTATAATGAAATGACAACGTCAAGTATGTTGCATTAGCTTTTGTTCAAGTAGCATCAGCCATGGCGGTACGTGTCTATTCTTTTTATTTATCAGGTAAACTGGCAAAACAAAAAGGCAGCAATTCCCGCACGACGATATCTCACTATCCAGTACTCCAAATAACGAACCGCTTAGTGTGCCAGAATCAGGACGAGCTGACGAACGTGCCGCTTGTGGTTTGGTGTCTCTGCCATGTCATGTCGACGAGCAACAGCCAGAAACGCTACACGTGCACCTTTTATTGCGGATCATATATATACACACCAAAGTCAGCTAAAAAAGGAGCGATCACCGCACGACGATATCTCGCCATCCAGTACTCCAAATAACGAACCGCTTAGTGTGCCAGAATAAGGACGAGCAGACGAACGTGACGCTGGTGGTCTGGTGTCTCTGCCATGTCGTATCGACGAGCAACAGCCAGGGACGCTACACGTGCACCTTTTATTGCGGATCATATATATACACACCAAAGTCAGCTAAAAAAGGAGCGATCACCGCACGACGATATCTCGCCATCCAGTACTCCAAATAACGAACCGCTTAGTGTGCCAGAATCAGGACGAGCAGACGAACGTGCCGCTGGTTGTCTGGTGTCTCTACCATGTCATGTCGACGAGCAACAGCCAGAAACGCTACACGTACACTTATAGTGTATCCTATATATATACACCAAAGTCAGCTAAAAATAAGGAGCGATACCCGCACGACGATATCTCACCATCGAGTACTCCAAAGAAACGAACCGTTTACTGCAGTAGAATAAGGACGAGCTGACGGGCGTGACGATATTGGTCTGGTGTCTCTACCATGTCTTTACGACGAGCAACAGCGGTGAAAAGAACGTGCGGATTATATGTAAAAGGTGCTTCAAGCAAGTCATTAGTACGACAAGGATCCAGACATAGCAATATCCCGTTGTTTTATAGATGCGGATGGGAAGCATATAATGGAGATAATCGTAGCAAAGCTGGTTTTTTCTGATAGCTCTGTGGTGGTGACGCTTATGTGCAGGTAAGGAAGTAATAGAGAGTGTATAGTATTAGCATGCTTTAATAAATTGGTATTTTATGAAATGAGATTCTGTTGTCGTGCATTGTGCAAAAGGTGCTCTATACTCTTTAAGCTGAAAAATTCATTAATGGATGTGGCATCTGCGGTTATGATGCATGTTTGTATATTATATTCCAATCTGTGAAAGTTCCTGGAGCATACCCCCGGTATATACAGCGTTGCTGCTGTAAATTGCCTTTGAAAGCTCAATAATAACGAGTGACCCCGATGACCCCGAGATTTCAGTTCATGTGGCGACGGACGACCCCGGCCTGACCCCGGGTTTTGGCCAATCAAATTACCAGAACATGATGAGCAAGACAGCAAAATAGCAGAAGAGCCAGCTCCACTTTATTTTATTTTTGCTCCATAACACACTCGTTTACTGCCGTCTTTATTCAAAACATATTGAAGCAAGTGCGCTTGCAAAAACAAGGTATTTAGTTCTGAGATGTCAAGTTGTTAAAAGAAAAGTGGCATTGTGATGGCGAATGATCTAATCTCTTTTACTACTAGTAATTGTGAAACTATAGCCATTTGACGAGGGCGGCAACCTACTCCAGCAGCAACAGCAGCACCACAGCAACAAGCCTTACAACCAACGGAAGCTACGGCACCCGATAATTATAACGGTCAAACTTAATTACAATGGCGTTGACTTGCCTGCATCACAGCATGACTACAACATCAAGGTAGTAAAACTTGCACAAGTCTTTACAGCACAGATCACTTTTTTTCTTACGTTAAACGAGGACGCGAGTAACGAAATGACAACGTCGATTATGTTGCATTAGCTTTTGTTCAAGTAGCATCAGCCACGGCGGTGCGTGTTTATTTCTTTTTTATTTATCAGGCAAATTGGCAGACAAAAGCACCAGCTGTTCCCGCACGACGATATCTCACTATCCAGTACTCCAAATAACGAACCGCTTAGTGTGCCAGAATCAGGACGAGCTGACGAACGTGCCGCTTGTGGTTTGGTGTCTCTGCCATGTCATGTCGACGAGCAACAGCCAGAAACGCTACACGTGCACCTTTTATTGCGGATCATATATATACACACCAAAGTCAGCTAAAAAAGGAGCGATCACCGCACGACGATATCTCGCCATCCAGTACTCCAAATAACGAACCGCTTAGTGTGCCAGAATAAGGACGAGCAGACGAACGTGACGCTGGTGGTCTGGTGTTTCTGCCATGTCATATCGACGAGCAACAGCCAGAAACGCTACACGTACACTTATAGTGGATCATATACATACACACCAAAGTCAGCCAATAAAAGGAGCGATTCCCGTACGGCTATATCTCATCATCGAGTAATCCGAATAACGAACTGTTTAGTGCAGTAGAATAAGGACGAGCAGACGAACGTGCCGCTGGTGGTCTGGTGGCTCTACCATACCATGTCGACGAGCAACAGCCAGGAACGCTACGCGTGCACTTTTATTGCGGATCATATACATATACAGCAAAGTCAGCCAAAAAGGAGCGATTCCCGCACGGCCATATCTCACCATCCAGTACTCCAAAAAACGAACCGCTTAGTGTGCCAGAATCAAGACGAGCAGACAAACGTGCCGCTGGTGGTCTGGTGTCTCTACCATACCATGTCGACGAGCAACAGCCAGAAACGGTACGCGTGCATTTTATAGTGGATCATATACATATACAGCAAAGTCAGCCAAAAAAAGGAGCGATTCAAGCACGACGATATCTCACCATCCAGTACTCCAAAAAACGAACCGCTTAGTGTGCCAGAATACGGACGAGCTGACGAACGTGACGCTGGTGGTCTGGTGTCTCTACCATACCATGTCGACGAGCAACAGCCAGAAACGGTACGCGTGCATTTTATAGTGGATCATATTCATATACACCAAAGTCAGCCAAAAAAAAGAGCGATTCGCGCACGGCTGTATCTCATCATCCAGTACTCCAAATAACGAACCGCTTAGTGTGCCAGTATAAGGACGAGCAGGCGAACGTGACGCTGGTGGTCTGGTGTCTCTACCATACTATGTCGACGCGCAACAGCCAAAAACGCTACACGTGCACTTATAGTGGATCATATATATATACACCAAAGTCAGCTAAAAAAGGAGCGATTCCCGCACGGCTGTATCTCATCATCCAGTACTCCAAATAACGAACCGCTTAGTGTGCCAGGATAGGGACGAGCTGCCGAACGTGACGCTGGTGGTCTGGTATCTCTACCATGCCTCGTCGACGAGCAATAGCGGTGAAAAGAGCGTGCGGATTATATAGATCAAGAGGGGCTTCAAGCAAATGAGTATTACTACAAGGATCCAGGCATGGCGATATCCCATTATTACATAGGTGAGGAAGAGAAGGATACAATAGATATAACGACAGTAAAGCTATATTCTTCGATGGGTCTGTGGAAAGCAACCGTGATATGCAGGTAAGGAAGCAATAGCATTTTTGAGTGTATAGTATTAGCAGGCTGCTATTTTATGGAATGAGATTCTCTTGTCGTGTGATAAATAAAAACTGCTCCATATGCTTTAAGCTTAAAAATACATTAAGAAATGTGGCATCTGCGATTCTGGTGCATGTTCGTATATGAAAATCCAATCAGTGGAAGCTGCTGAGGGGTATATCTGCCGTCTATACAGCTTTGCTGCTAATGGCTGCTGGATAAATAATGGTCCCGGACCATCCGCCACATTTAATTGGTCAAATAGTCCGTAACGTACGGACAATTTAGCAACGATGACCCAAATGACCGTGAATGACCCCAGATCTGGCTAAGGCGGCACTCGTACCCACAGCACTCGAACATATATAAAAAGTTGACGAACAAATATACAACACACGTTTTACACAATTCATCAGTGGTCATTCTAATTGCTGGTCAAAACATGCGTTTTCTGACATTAGCAACGCCATTGCACGTACAGGCGAACTTGTTTGAATACATTCTATGCCAGCCAGTACTTTTTTTCTCTTATTGTAAAGAAGAGGAGAGGCACACAGCACCATTAAAACAAAGACGCTATCCAGCGCTAATTTTTTGATTATGACGTTGATGCACTTGTATCAACATACAAGTAAAGATGTATATATCATCCCATTACACCGAACTGCAACAGCACCGATCACTTTTGAATCATGTCTCACGACCCAAAAAACAGGCAATCTTACTCATATCATATTTGCCCACATTCAGGCTTCGATTTGGCAAACTATCTAAGCTTAGACAAAAATAATCGGTATATGATCTTTACATTTTCTGCTGATGCTATAGTGCTATAGTGATGAAGGAAACGCATTGGAATAAAAAGGCCGGTCTGTGGATTTTCTGTGTAAGAGACACTGGATTGCCCAGAGAATTAAACCTGCAAACTGAAAAGAGAGCATCAGCATCAATACGTCGTCGTTGGAGCTTGTAGTTGTGGAGTTGGATATTTGTAAAAATAGAAGGAAACAGCAGCATTTGCGCAGTTATACAGGCTTCTTGCTTATACAGACACAAATGCAATGCTTATGTTCACGCGATCCAACAGATCTTACTGCAATGTCATGAATTCAAGCAGCTACGTTACTGATGAACATAGGACATCGTGGGGCATTAAGACACTCAATAGGCTGAAAAGAAGGGCGTGTAAGCGCAACGGGTTTAGGGGCCTGGCAGCGAACGCCAGTGAGCGAGCAGGTTTAGTCGAACGCGCAAGTCCTGGTCCGGGTTTACTAAGGTTTCGGGTTTAGAGTTTCCAATTGATGAGCTTGGATGTATATGGGACTCTCTTCTTCTTCTCCACCACCGCTTATTTTGGATTGTTTTATTCGTTGGCTATTTTTTATACTTCTTGAATGCTGTATGTATGTGTACCTGTATTCGAGAGATAATTAACCTGTGTCGGATACATATTAGCAGATAACGTGAATGGCAGTGACCAATATTTTGTTGTAAAGAAGTGTTGATTACAAGTACAAACGGATGGGAAAGGCAGAAGGAACGTGAGGAAACGACAAGGCAAAGCGAAAAGGTGATAGCATCCATGATTATGAGTGCCGTGTTTGGTGAAGCCCCTTCCAAGGTGCAGCGCTCCATAAAGAAAAAAATTTTACACGAAAGGTAGCTTCTGCTCTTTCACTTCTTTGTATTTTATTCATTACTGCTCACCGCCATTTCAACACTCGAATTGCCATCTTGCACACGCTCCATCGGAATCCAGCTTTGCCGCATCTGACATTCCTTTTGAACACCATTCGAACAACACTCGTCCTATCTTCTTCACTCAAGCAACGTTCGTCTTGTACGCTTTCTCTAATCTCCACACTCGAATTTTACACATCTCGCACTTTTTCCTTTCAACACCAATAAAGCATTTCGAATGAAACTCATCTCTTGGTCTCAGTCCTTGTGTGTGTTTTTTTGCTCTTGTTTAATAATTTCCTGTACAATGTATAGCCAAGATGGACAATGGCGGTGCTATTTTATATACAGCAACATATATGAGCAGCAAAAATAGCAGTAACAACCACGAAGACGACGACGGTTTTATGATCCACTGATTCGAATTGCACACAACGACCACCAATCGAACGTGCAGCTTCTTCCGAAAACGACGGTTGTTGTCGCGTGTCTCTGCGATGGCTTTTAAAGGAGTACGAACAACAACATTCGCGGCAGTGCTATGTTCTTATACACCAATAACAAAAATAATAGCAGCATCCACCAAAAATGACGTCGTTCTCGCGATCCACTGATTTGAATCACACACAACAAGCACCAGTCGAACGAGCAGCTTCTCCCGAACACGACGATTCATGGTGCAAGTCCCAGCAATGATTTTAGAAGGAGTAGGGACAGGAACGGGGATGGATATGCGATTGTATTATACTCCAACTGTAAAAATAACAGGAGCAACCACCAAAAAGCACCACGGTCTCACGATCCACTGATTCAAATAGCATACAACGACCACCGGTCGAACGAGCAGCGTCTGTAGAACACGACGATCGTTGTTGGAGATCTCTGTGATGGTTGGGAAGGAATGCGAACAACAACAGTCTATGGATAAGCAATTGTGTTACACTCCACTGGCAAAACTAATAGCAGCATCCACTAAAAACGACGACGATCTCACGATCCACTGATCCAAATGGCATACAACGACCACCAATCGAACGAGCAGCGTCTGTAGAACACGACGATCGTTGTTGGAGATCTCTGTGATGGTTGGGAAGGAATGCGAACAACAACAGTCTATGGATAAGCAATTGTGTTACACTCCACTGGCAAAACTAATAGCAGCATCCACTAAAAACGACGACGATCTCACGATCCACTGATCCAAATGGCATACAACGACCACCAATCGAACGAGCAGCGTCTGTAGAACACGACGATCGTTGTTGGAGATCTCTGTAATGGTTAGGGATCGGATCGGCCATATGGAGTGCAAGGATATCATTTTCATATTTATTTTATATACAACAATTAAAATAAAGAGAGTCATTCTTATGAGGAGTTTTTTATGATCTTACACAACAATAGTCGTTTCTTCTGAATAGATGTCATAGTGAATTCGAACACAACAAAAAAGATATGTGGAGAAGTTGTGAAGAAGAGCAATTTACTTTAAGGGAAGAACCTGGTATTTGTGGTGAAGGGCAGTTTAATGCCCATATGTAGATGGTTCAGACCGTGTATAGAAACTATTTAGAAAGTATGTCTTCTGGTCAAACTCTTATGTATTGAGTACGACCTTATGCTTTTTTTTGTTGCCTGTCTTTAATTATTTGTTATCATAGTAACATATATCCCAAATGGACGACGGCACTTGCTATATTGAGTATCATTTAAACTTGTATTCAGCAGCGACCAAAAATATCAAGACTAGACTCTAAGAGACAATGTTCTCACTAAGAACTTGTAAAAAAAAATAGGACCAAGCGTGGGTATGGACAGTAATTAATAATAGCATTAGATCATAGTTGCTGAAAGCATTCTAAGCAGCACCATAATGACAATGACAATAAAAGGTCTAATTGTGCTGTGTAGAATGCTGGATCACTTTAGCATCTAGCATGATGCTGTACTAATAATAATAATACACATGTCTATGAGCTGGCAGTATCATAAGGCAATGTTGATATTGGATCTTATATATTGGCAACGTTTTATTGAAGAAAACAATGACAATGACAATAAACGGTCCCATTTTGATGTTTTTTAGATCAGTGTTTGAAGAGAAAATATAAGCAACTACTATCATGCACTCACGATCTTCACATATATAACCCCACAAAGCCAATATGAATTATTTGAGCGCCATCTAGAGACATTGACGATGATGATGATGCATCAGATTTGGCAGTAATCTACTAAGAAGAACGACGGCAATGATGTTAAATAGTATTCTTTTGACATTTTTAGCAGAAGAACTACAAAATAATAATAATAATGATGATGATGACTATTACCATCAACAGTAGTGTCGATAAGAGCTTTAGCATGCAAATGAAGCAAAAGTTCCAGTGTTGTCTTCATTATCACATATACCAACACCTGCACCTGCACTGGGAATAATTTATACTGTAGCAAAGAAATATAGTGGATTTAGTGGATTTTCCAATAAACAATCATTCAATATGATAATAAGGTAATTTTATGTATTAATCACTAATAAAATATTTTCTATAGATTCAAAAAAAATTGTTATAGATCAAACATGTTTTTATCATATGGATAATAAGTTATATAGATCAAACACTATGTCATCTTCAGATCGAAAGGGCTTTATTTTCTTGAACTTGAAACTTTTTAGATATTATTCTTTTCTCGGATCGAAATGGAAATCATGGATTTTTCAATGTGTAGGTATTATGGTTTAATACCTATAGTATATACCCACGCAAAGCACATCCCAAGCGAAGCAAAGAAAGCATTCGTAGAGTAATTAAGACAGGGAATAATCATAGTGTCAACCTATGTACGAAGCACAAACTGAGTGAATCGAAGAAAGCATGAGGAGAGTTATTAAGATATAAATTAAGCATAGCATAAACCCATGCATGAAGCGTAACCCAAGCAAAGTGAAGAAAGCATGAGGAGAGTGATTAGGATAGGAAAAAAGCATAGCGTCAACCCATGCACGAAGCACAACCCGAGCGAAGCAAAGAAAGCATGAGAAGAGTGATTAAGATAGGAATAAAGCATAGAGTCAACCCATGCACGAAGCGCAACCCGAGCGAAGCGAAGAAAGCATGAGGAGAGTCATTAAGATATATGAATAAAGTGTAGTGTAAACCTATACATGAAGCACAGCCTAGCTGAAGCTGAGATAGCATGAGGAGGGTTATTAGGATATAAATAAAGCATAGCGTCAACCCATGCATGAAGCACAACCCGAGCGAAGCGAAGAAGCATGAGTAGCTAAGAAAGGAATCAAGCATAGCATAAACCCGTGTGCGAAGCAAAACTGGAGCAAAGCTGAGAAAGTGCAAGTAGAGTAGTTAAGAAAGGAATCAAGCATAACATAAACCCGTGTGCGAAGCACCACTCGAGCGAAGCTGAGAAAGTGCAAGTAGAGTAACTAAGATATAGGAATGGAGCATAGCATAAACCCGTGTACAAACTATAACCCGAGCGAAGCGGAGAAAGCATAAGTAGAGTAATTAAGATATAGGAATGAAGCATAGTATAAACCCAGATGCAAAGTGCAACCCGAGCAAAGCGAAGAAAGCACAAGTAAACTGACTAAGGTGAGAAATAACTATAGTGAATACTGCATGAAACATCAATTGAATGAAATAAAGAAAATATAAGTGAAAATATTAAGATATAAATTATGCATAGTATATACTAGCATTCAGTATAATATAAAAGATGCAGAGAAAGCATTATGAATTAAGTATAATATATAAACATTTAAACTATATATAGAATGAACTGAATAAAAAAGCAAGAGGAACATTACTCAAATATAAATTGAATATATAATATATACAGATAAAACATGACTGAATAAGAAATAAAGAAAAGATAAGAGGAAATAATAAGATATGAAGATATATATATATATAAACAAAAGAAAATAAGAATTTACCAATGACTAGTTCTCAAATCATGGTTACCAAAGAGATATGAGTGCTGAATATACGTGGGGCTTGAATATGAGATATAAGATGGATATTGATGTTATTTTAAGAATAATTGTAAAATAAAATATTAGATCAATTTAGAACTAGTAAACTCAACATTTAACATTTGAGACATAGGATACAAGAATTATAAATCACAACTTAAGATATAGAATACAGAATAAAGAATAAAAATTACAGAATACAGAATATAGAATAAAGAATGAAGAATCAAGAATTAAGAATCAAGAATCAAGAAATAAGAATAAAGAATAAAGAGCAAAGAATAAAGAATATAGAATATAAAATAAAGAAATAAAAAATAAAGAACAAAGAACAAAGAATAAAGAAATAAAGAAATAAAGAAATAAAGAATAAAGAATAAGAATAAGAATGAAGAGAATGAAGAACATAGAATAAAGAATAAAGAATCAAGAATAAAAATTGAAGATGAAGAATAAAGAATGAAGAATATAAAATAAAGAAATAGAAAATAAAGAAATAAAGAATGAAGAATAAAGAATGAAGAATATAAAATAAAGAAATAGAAAATAAAGAAATAGAAAATAAAGAAATAAAGAATGAAGAATAAAGAATAAAGAAATAAAGAATGAAGAAAAAAGAAGAAAGAATAAAAAACTAAAAATAAAGAAATAATGAATAAAGAATAAAGAATAAAGAATAAAGAATAAAGTAAAAACAATAAAGAATAAAAAATAAAAAATATAGAACATAGAATAAAGAATAAAGAAATAAAGAATGAAGAATGAAGAATGAAGAATAATAAATAAAGAATTATGAATGAAGAATAAAGAATAAAAATTCAAGAATGAAGAATAATGAATAAAGAATGAGGAACGAAGAATAAAGAATAACGAATAAAGAATAAAGAAAAAAGAGAAAGAAGAATAATGAATAAAGAATCAGGAATGAAGAATGAAGAAATAAAGAATGAAGAAAAAAGAATAAAGAAGAAAGAGAATGAAGAAAAAAGAATAAAGAATAAAAAAATAAGAATAAAGAAATAACAAATAAAGAATAAAGAATAAAATTTACATAACATAGAATAAAGAATAAAGAAAAAAGAATAAAGAAAAAAGAATAAAGTAAAAAGAATAAAGAATAAAGAATAAAGAATAAAAAATAAAAAGTAAAAAATAAAAAATACAAAATATAGTATAAAGAATGATGAATGATGAATGATGAAGGAAGAATGAAGAATGAAGAATGAAGAATGAAAAATAATAAATAAAGAATAATGAATAAAAAATAAAAAAAAAGAGAATAATGAATAAAGAATAAAAATTGAAGAATAAAGAATGAAGAATGAAGAATGAAGAATAATAAATAAAGAATGAGGAACGAAGAATAAAGAAATAAAGAATAAAGAAAAAAGAATAAAGAAAAAAGAATAAAGAATATAAAATAAAGAAATAGAAAATAAAGAACAAAGAATAAAGAAATAAAGAAATAAAGAATAAAGAAATAAAGAAATAAAGAATAAAGAATAAAGAAAAAAGAATAAAGAATAAAGAACAACAATAAAGAATAAAGAGAATAAAGAATATAGAATAAAGAATAAAGAATAAAGAATAAAGAAATCAAGAATGAAGAATAAAGAATAAAGAATAACAAATAAAGAATAACAAATAAAGAATAAAAAACTAAAATAAAGAAATAATAAATAAAGAATAAAGAATAAAGAAAAAAGCATAAAGAAAAACGAATAATGAATAAAGAAATAAAGAATGAAGAATGAAGAATATAGAATATAAAATAAAGAAATAAAAAATAAAGAATATAGGATATAAGATTCAGAATTCAGGATTTAAGACTTTTAACTATAAAATGCAGAAATATAAAATATATGAAACAGAAAATAGGATATAAAACTAGCTACCATACTATTTTAATCAGGCTACTAAATAAAAATAAAAAACTAATGATAAAAAAAAAATAATATACAAAAACACCCACTGACTTTGCCTGCCAGGCAACCCAGCGAAGCTCGAATGCAAGATAAATGGGGCAACTAACTAGCATATATGCAAAAAATAAAAAATAAGAATAATGATAAAAGAAAGAAACCGTTCCACTCACAGGTCAACCCAGCGAAGCGTCGATGCTATACAAATGTAATTAACAGATATAATAATGAATAAAAAGCTAAAGATAATAAAACCATATAAGATGATACTAACTGACTTTGCCTGAAGGGCAACCCCGCGAAGCACGGATGCAACATAAATAAGGGCTACTGAATAGCATGTAAGCCAGAAATAAATAAGAATAATAATAAAAGATAATAA